TCTCACCTGTTAGTTTTTACATTTGTTATTTTGTTGTCTCCAATGCCCCAATAGTTCTACCCACAATGGTGCTGTTGTTTCTGTTTCCCTTTTTTTGATTTCTGGTACTTCAATCATACAGATTTATGTATTTTCTAGAGTTTGGGACTGGTTGCCCACTGTATTACTGGGGAGATAAAAGTTTAAAAAGCAAAGAGAGGTTTTGCAACTGAGTAATTAGTTAATAGCAGCAGTTTGGGACTGGTTGTCCAGTGTACTACTGGGGAGATAAAAAAAACAAAGAGAGGTTTTACTTGCAGCTGAGTAATTAATTAATAGCAGCAGTTTCCCTCTCATCCTCATGACCTATCAGAAGGTAGGTGGAGTCCTTAATTTTCAGCTGTACATTTTTGTCATCTTTGTCATCCATGTGTCTCTGGGGAACTTGCACTGAGACTTAAGGAGCTGCAAAGCCTGGGTGAAGTCCTACAGGTAAGCCAGCCCTGTTCTTGTTCTCCTTTTTAAGAATGCAAACAGTAAAATGTTTTCTTCAAGGAGCAGAAAATGAAAACAGTTAAAAATCTTCAGGCGTGTGCCATAGCTCCATGGCACAATAAAGCACAAAGGACAGATTAGGAGTTTTGCAGGATGTCTAAGGATAATTAAGACAGATGGCAACCTCAGACTCAGGAGCTGTACAGTGGTAGGAAGTGTTTTTGTGTGCTAATCTTTGATAAGAAGGGCTGCAGTGAATAATTTTAAGACAATTATTTCCATAATGAGCAGCAGTCTTGTAGCATTGTTTTTTTTCTTCTGTGATTTGTCCTGCCTTCAACTTTGTAAAACAGAGAGCAAACATGAAATGCACCTTCAGAACAAAGCTTTTTGTGGTCAAGATTACCAAAAATGGACCAACAACAGAAGGTACCACAGCACTCACAACCCTAAAGCACCTTGTTTTCATGGTGTGTCTCTGAATTCAAAAAACCTTTTGCAGAGTGTACAGAGTGTGCTGGTAGGCACCATTTTTGTGCAATAAATCCCAGAAATGCACCTGGAAACAAATTAACCAGGGTCACTCTCCTGATGTTGTGCCTAAATAACCCAGTCAAACTGCCCTGCTCCTTTGAAACAGGTAGGGGCTAAACCTGCACTGAGAAACAGCAAACCCTGGCCTTTTCTCCTTGGGGTTGGGGTTTTTTTGGGTACCAAGTGGTTTGACAGGCTACCTGTGAGCTCATCTGTCCTGTCGGGCATCGCTCTCAGGTTCACCCTGCTCCCCTTTCTGAAGGAGACAAGGAACAGATGTTCAAGCAGCAGAGTTGTCTGAGCCACCTCACTCTTTCATTTGTCTGCCAAATCCTACTCAGAGAGCAGACTGTGTCAGCTTCCCTGTCTTCCAGCACCACAGAGGGAGAATGAGGCCAGTTCACCTGTTTTCCCACCAATCTCCGTCCTTTTTTTTTTTTTTTTTTTTTTTTTTTCTCCTTAATTACCCTTTTCTCTCTATCTGCTAGTTTTAGCCTTGGTTCTCCTTCTCAGACACAGCAGCCTGACTCAATTCCACTTTCCTTTCTTCCCTGTGGCAAAAATCTCTCAGACCCCCAGGAAATGGGGCTGGAGCCACCTTGCAGCATGGAGCAGGTGTGTGCAGAGAGGAGAAGCAGAGGCATCTTTCGAGGCACCCCTGTACCTGACTTATTCCATTTCCAGATTTCAGGTCACCTTCCTTCTGTGCTATTTCTCAAAAGTGACCTGGGGACGGTGTCTGAGTTCATCAGGCCTTGCTGAGAACGAGGGTGTTTGTCCCAAATCAGAGAAGCTGAAGAGTAAGGAAGCCTCTCTGTTGTTAGGAGCAAGATGCTCCATCTAGGCCTGGCATAAAGCCAGGCTTTTGTACTGAGTTCTGTCTTGCAGAATCTTCTGAAAATTATCAGGAAAAAACAACTTCACATGCTTCTTTACTGGCAGCCTTGGGTTTTAAACCATTCCAATTTTGTCTTCCTCTGTCCCAGCTAGGCATCCTGTTCTAACTTGAAAATTTCATTAGTGTCTTGAGCACTTCTCCATCTCACAGCTTCAGAAGCTGCAGATTTTCCTATCTCTGCTGAGTTCTCACCATGGCAGGGTGAAGATGGGTGTGCCAGCAAGCTGGGAGGACAGAACTGCAACAACATATTCGTTCATTTGTTGGACAAACATTTCAGAAGAGCCCTACAATGAGTCACCACATTAAAAGCTATCCTTTGCATGCTCTTTTGGACCCCTTTTATAGAATGAATGTAAAAGTCAGAGCCAGCTAGTAGAAATCATTTTGCAAAGGAAGTAGGAATCATTTTGCAAAATCATTTTGCAGGCTTTTAGGAGCACGCCTGCACATACATCCTCTGTCCTCATGTACACCTTATGCATAAGCTCTCTGAATCTGGCCCTTTTTCCTTTTCTCAGAAAGGAAAAATAAATTGTTATATCCTCTCTGTGTCTAAGCTTATTTTCTGTAAACACTCAGCCACAAGAATAACCAGAAAATAGATCTTCCACGTTGATCTGTGTTATGCAGGGAGTAGTTCTGTTTAAAATAGTGAACCATTTTGGTTTTGTTATTTTGTTTGCTGCATGTGGAATCCTAAGCCTTTCATTTTAAGGAAATAAAAGCTGGTTCAATGTTCTGTATATCTGAGAGGATTAAAGGGCCATCTCAAACATGAAGAGGTAGCCTTTATGGATTCCTTAAATAAGTACTACTAAAAATGGAGTAGGTGAATGAATACAATACTCAGGAGCTGATTCAAGTGCAAGCCTTCCTGCAGACAAGGCTCTGCACCACCATTACGTGTCCAGTTCAAAACAGATATCACAGTGATAGTTTAGGTGCATTTGTATTTGCAGGACAGAAGTGAAAAAGTTCAATCTAACTGTGTGCCAAGAAAAATGCAGTGTTTGGCTGGACTGAGACTGAGCTGGGCTTTGCTTTGATAGACTGTACCAGTGATGCTTTTATTTAAAGAATAATCACCAAGCCTCTTCCTGACTTGAAGTTGGAGTGGACTGAACATGTTTTTATTTTAAATAGTCTTGTTTGCCTACAGCTGAGCTGACAGGCCAGTGCAGGGTGTGATGCAGTGCCCTAAACACAGGTTATTTTAGATAGCACAGGGAATTTGAGACATCTGCAGGGCAGGGCACACATTAAATATTGCCTCTAGTGGACCCATGCCCACCCAAGGCAGCAGCTGGAGGAAGTGGATTTCCTAGGATATCTAACATGGCATGAGCTATTGACATTTAAGCAGATGAATCCTGTGGAATCTTGGACTTACTCTGATGGAAATATGGAGGAATATGTTTATCCACTGCCACGTGTGCATGTGCTCTCAGCCTTCATCTGTGTGTGAAAGATTCAGGGGAAGAACACATCAGCCTCTATGTGCTAAGGTTTGCCTTTCACTGCAATGACTTGTATTTCCTTCAAATCTAAAAAGTAATATTTGTTTCTACTAGTCTACAGTGAAAAAAAAAAAAAAAAAAAGGCATTTCAGACTTCTCCAGAGAGTGTTGATGATAAACTTCTCATATCACTTCCCTTTCATGTCTAGGCATTTCTGATAGAAACACCACTCATTCTTTAAGGATTTTCAAATCCTCGGGTGTTCAGAGGTCTTGTGTAGCTGGAAAGGGTTTTCAGAAACCAGTAAGTGATATTGTTCTGCCTTGAATTATATAGGAAAAGAGGACCTAGAAAAATCATTGCTTCATGAAAGGTCTCTCATCACTAAAAGAGGCAAGTGCTGCAACAGCAATACTGTAATGCCTTATATATGATTTGAAGGAGTTGAAGTGTCTGTAGGAATTATAGGTTTTTTCACCCTTAAATAACAATAATTTCTTGTTGTTAAAAAACAAATAATTTCTTGTTCTTGCTTTTTGTCATGTGACATATTTATATGTCATATATTCAGTCATGTGATGTGCCTTGAAAGTCAAGAGCTTCTCTGATTTCTGTCCTGTAAAAAGTAGCATTATTTTTTTAGGTTGGGGAAACTGCATGAAGATTCAGACATTTATAAGGAGTTTGTTTTAGATGTTCTTAAGGGTGAAGCTGTGAGGGAGAGAGTTCACACAAAAGCAAAGAGCAGTTCACCAGTCCTCCAGGCAGAGGGGAATCCCAGGATGTTAACAACAGGACAGAGCTGGTGATTCCATCTACGCTTACAAAAATAAATCAAAAAGTGTACAAAACCTCTGGCCCACATAAGGAAAAAATCTCCCAATGATCAATTTGATTAACTAACCAAAACCCTCTAAACTCCCCAGCTTTCCTGACCCAAAAAACTGTGTAATTAGAGAAGACTGCATGGTGATTATTATTAAAATGAATATGGGTTTGGTTTTATTTCTGATGTTGTGTTGGCAGTAACTCAAATTCCAAAGCTTTTGCAGGCTTCAGAAGAACTAAAAGCTGAGTTTTGCTTTAGACCAGCACTTACCAGTAAAGAAGGGAATAAAATGGGCTCATTTCACTCTTTTTAGCAGTATAGCCAATTCCAGAAATGTCTCCTCAGCTTAAAATAGTGAAAGTTTCTAGAATTGATGGTACATCTGAGACTAAAACAGTCTTTAAATGCACCTCCTAGCAGAAGATCTTGCTTGCTTGTATAAATGAACTGGCAGAAGAAAAAAAGTATTTAGGAATATATATTTAAAACTGGCCTTCAAAAATGTGCAACTTCTTTTCACTTTGTTAACTTTTCTTCCAGAAATAAGAAGCAATGCAGGCATTGCACTGTTTGACAACAAGAAAGGACAGTTTTCTGTTTATTCAACACATTTGGAATCTCATTAGTTATCAAATGGGACTTGAGTCTCATTGCCTACAAGCAATAACATTTTTTTCATTCTCTGCTGCCCAAAGTGACCAAATATAGATTAGTCTGAAGTTTATTGTTACTGCTAGAACTGATATGTAATAAAATTCATTTTTAGATACACAGATTTTTTTTTTTTCCCCTTCCTTCCTTCAGGCTGCTGAAGAATGCTCAGAATGAAGTTCATTTCAGAATGTGGTATAAGAAACTCCTGGCTGCTCTCCAATTCTGTGCTGGACAGACCCTGAACAATGAGTTTTCTAAGGAAGAAAAACTCATCAGAATTCTGGAAGACATTGCCACAAAAGTGAAAGCTGCCAGTGACCCAAAAAGAAAGGTTTGTTTAAAAATATTGCCCCTTCCGTCTAAGTTTCTGTAGGGAATTTTATTTTTTCTAAGGTGACACAACTTTCTTTTAATATCTTTTACATAAATAAACCAAAGACTTAACTAAACTTTATGATTATTTTTCTACTCTGAAAACAGGTAACACAGATCTCATCACTATTACTCTTGAGGTCTGCAAATCTTTTCATCCATTTAAATTCCCTCATCAGTGGTTTTTCAAATGGACTTGGAGGTGCTCAGCAATAATGGCAACAAGGCTGATTATCATTTCACTGAGAGGAATTCCCACACTCAGCACCTCATCCCAAAATATTTGACTCATGTAGAGCTGCAGCATTTCTTGCAAGCTTTACTAAGAGTTGTTCTTGGCAGGCTGGACATATCCTCATTTCTTAGCAAAGACAACCAGACTGGAATGTAGCTGATATCTCAAATACAGCTCTCAGCAATGAACACTGAACACATATCTGCAGAGGTGCCTCCCTGGCAGTAGAAACTTGCAGTTGGGGCAGCTTTTATATTGTATAGGTACATTTCTAGTTTAGAACTGTTAATTTTCCAGGACAGCTGCTGTTACTTACCTGGTGTGTAAAACTGCTTCTTGTTGAAATCTCAGCAAGGCAGAGCAGAGAGCCAAATAAAAATATACTTGCCACTGCTGGTTATCATGAACGATATCATGAATCTTTCTGCCTTTTTAAGGATTCAAAGATATTCAAAGGGTTTCTCAGAAAACTCTCAGTGCTGCTACTGAGAGCAGCAAAGCAAACATGGAAGTAAAAAGACAAAAATATTTGCAAAAGGAAAATGCATGTAAAGAACAAGAAATAGTAGTAATACATTATACATCACTGATGCATAATTCAGACTTTAGAGATTAATCTCAAGGCTGCAGTTACTACGATATTGAGAAGCTCCCAAACCTTGCAGTTAACAGAGTTAGGCAAGGGAGATCAGTGTTGAGGTAACAAGCAACAAATTGGGAAGAGTTTAGGAAAGGCAAAAAAGCCCATGAGATACAGCAGAGCAATATGAGGCTAATCAACCCCTAACAAAGGTGTTGACTCATAGAATCAAAGAATGGTTTCAGCTGGAAGGGACCTTACAAGTCATCCAGTTCCAACCCCCCAGCAATGGCAGGGACACCTTCCACCAGACCAGGTGGCTCCACCCAGGCTGGTTTCACAGGTAGAGGTTTTTTCTAATATCCAGTCTAAACCTATCCTCCTTCAATTTGAAGCCATTCTCCCTTGTCCTGGCACTCCATGCTGTTGGAAAGAGACTCTTTCCATCTGAACCTGCAGGGCAGTATGAGCTGCTAGCACATCTAGGCAGAAAAGGCATCAGTGTAGAGTAAAATTACAGCTCTTATTTTTAATACCCCAGTGTGACCTCATTAGCTGTTGGAAGGTCACACGAATGCTGCCAGCTCTGAAAATTGCATTGCTTGTTTAAAGTACAGAAAGACAGTGGGGAAAAAAATAATTACAAAAGAAAGAAATAAATAAAAAGCTGCTTTTGTGTTCTTTCATGCTGCCATAATGGTTCTTGTGCTGCAGGAGGTGTTGAAGGTGGAGCTCAGCAGACTCCAGCAGTTCTTCCAGGAGGTGAAGCTCTGCCGGCTCCCCCTGAACCCTGCACTCGTTGTGCAAGGCATAGAGGCAGATGTAAGTGTGACCCCTTGCATTTTCAATTTTGGTTTTTAGTCTGGAGGGGAGAAGGAGAGAAATCCTGCATTGAGATGATCAGGAAATGATCGTAGTGGAGAATTATGAGTTTGCAGGCCCCAAGCTGGGCAACTCTCTGGGGGCTCCCCTGGCAGGGGAGACCCTCCTGGAGCAGTTCTGTGTCAGGAATGAGAGATGCATTGGACTTTTTCAGTCTTCAGCTTTTGTTTATTGTTATCTTGTCAAAACTTCAGCACACTGTCTGCACCGGACTCTGCATGCAGGATAAACAGCACAAAAATGGCTTAAAATCTCTTGTTACAAGGCCTTTTAAGACTAATCAAAAACTAAACTACCCAATTAAGAAGTGACACATTAATTATTTTCCTTTCTTACCCAATAACTGACTCCTAAAGACCCGCATGTGGATTTTTCTACCCAATGACAAGATACCACCTCAATCAAAGAAGACAAAGGAAGAAGGAAGTAAAATGAACTTGTGACAACACCCTATACCCTCCATCTTGAACCCATCTATAACATACTAAAAATCCCAAAACCTAAATTTCTCACCTATGTGAAATACTAAATTAATCTCTACAATCTCTACAATCTATTTCACACTTTTGTGGTTTCTAGTTTACCTTGAGGCTTTGGAAGTTTTCTCCATGAATGAGGGTCAAAATCAGTGCACCCCTGGGGGTCAGGACACCCCAGAGCAGACAGAATATATTTATTATATATTCCAGGTGCCCTGGGTTTCCACAGAGAATAAATCATCTGGTCAATTCACACCCAGCCTAATCTCCTTCAAACTTTAGCCTGAGGCAGAGGTGACAGGATGGGTGTGGTGGCTGCTGCAGGTGTGTCGCAGCAGCCAGAGATTTCAACTCTGAGCTGCCCATTCCCAGCTCAGCTGCCCTGCCCTGGTGTTGGCATTGGCAAGGACACCTGGAGCTGGGACCTGGCTCCCAGCAGGCAGCCTATTGTAAAGGCAGGTGAGCCCAGTGGGAAGAAATGATGATGTCTGACTCTAGTTCAGAAGGCTGCATGATTTCTTTATTATAATTATGCTATAATACATTAATATACTATTTAAAGGAGATACTAAAACTACAAACCTACTTGTTCTAACTACCATATCTGACCCACAACGGGTGACCCTCTCTGGAGAGTCCAGCCCCAGGTGGATTGGATTGGCCATCAGGCTCAAACAATCCTCACCAGAATCCAATCAAGCACTCACCCCAGGTAAACAATTCTCCAAACACATTCCACATGGGAAAAAAAAGGAGCAGAAATAGAAATTGTTTTCTCTTTCATTTCTCTCTGTGCACCTCTATGAAAAATCCTGAAAGAGAGGAGAGTGTGCTTGCCACAATAGCCCTTGGTGTTTTTCCCATCCAAGACTCTCCCATGTCAGGTAAGGGAGCAGCAAAAAGTCTGGAGCCAGCTGTCTGTTTGCTGAGCTGACTGAGAATTGCTAAAATGTTAAATATTCACACTAGCTTATCTGTATCTACGACCCCTATTTAAAATGTCTTAAGGATAAAGGAAATAGCAATACTCTTCAGTGTTACTTGACTTTGATTGCAGTACTAAGATTCAGGTATTCATTGTTCAGAAATATTTTCATAAACAACATAATGCCAGGAGCAAGCTCTGATTCATCTCTGGAAAAGGAAAATGTATCCAGCATGAAGAAAAAGAAAAACCTGAACAGCCATATATATTACCAGTTATAACTGCCTAATTACAGCAATTTGTGCTCTATTTTTGTTCTCTGGCTCATTATCCATAGTAGATCTGATTCTAAGAGGTGCTGATCCCTTCAATTGCCTCTGACCTGTATTTCTCCAAGTAATTGCTATTCAGCCTTGATCTGGCTGAGAACTGAGGTGTTCCAGCACCCCACAGACTTGGGAGAATTTTATGTGATACAAGTCAGGAGGATTTGAAGCCTGCTGCTTCTCCCTGCTTTCAGGCTTTGGAAAATAATGACTAATGGAAAGGTATCTCACCATAAAGTCATGCTATTTATACTTCACCAGCTTGGCTGGACAGGTACAAACATAAAATCTGAAGAGGATTTTTTTGTTGCTGTTGTTTTTTGTTTTTTGTTTTTTTCATTTTTCTTCTATCATTATAGACCATTATTTTTCTATAAATATATGTAGTTTCTTGATTGGACTGTATGTCAGTATAATCATGCAAATTAGAACTTTTAAGTGCTTATAATTACCTAAATTTAATTCATTTTGGTGTCATCTATTGATGCTTCCAGTAGCAAGCCCTGCTCCCAGCTCCATCAGAGTCACATCATCCCACAGGAACCTTTCAAGCACTCACTGAGACATTTCAATTGGCAAAATTCTGATTGAAATGGAATAATTTCAATGGTGGGGGGTCAGGATCTCATTGCTGATAATGGCTCTGGCCCATCCCAGAGGTCTGCTGTGGCTGAAATATTATTTGCATGCTCGTGCCATGCTTGGAGATGTTCAGATGAAAAGCAGCAGACAGCTGTGTCTGGTGGAGCTGAAATGAGCCTCCCTTACACTGCACCCTGTAAGGACAGCAGCAGCTCTTGTGGGGTGCTCATTATTTCCAGAAACCAGGCCATTAATTCACTATTGTCTCTAGCTGGTTGTGAGGGGTTTCCCCACCACCTTTCTTTGGGTGTTTTTAATGAGGGTAGTAATTCCACCCTAAACTCTCACAGGATTTGCAGTGCTTGGCTCATTAATGCTTTTTGAAGCCCTTTGAGATCTTCAGGTGGAAGGAGCTGTAGAGCATGAAAGCCAGAGTTTGTGCTTAATTAAGATAAATTCCACATAAAATCGAGCATGATTTTCAAAATTTCCTGTATCCTCAGCCAGAGTGAGGTAATCAAAGAAACTGGCAGGTTCTTTGCTTCCATGTCTGATTGGGCATGGCTGGGTTGGTTTTGGTTTTTTTTTTTTCAGAAAACAATAGGACCAAAGGCTTTTCAGTGCTTTAAAACTCATTAGATCACTCTTATATAATTCATCCACCCAGTTCCAGGCAAATCTTATTGTTGATAGGCCGGGGTGAAAATAAAAAACAATTAGTGCATAAAATATTACCTGTTCATATGATCTGATGTTTAAGTGAAGCAAGTTGTCTGGGGACAAGAAATTTCTTGTTTTTCAGACCCAATGAAACAGTCAATAATATCAATAATTATTTATTTTTGCTGCCACTGCTACTGAGAAGTGTTTAAAGCTGGAATCTTTTTTCAGAGGTATTGTATTGGCCTGGTGTTTTGTATATGTGACACTGTTGTTCTTCTGTCTCATTTTCTTTCCCCTGCAGTCATGTTCTTATTTCACATCCAATGCCTTTCCATTAAAAATCTCCTTCATCAATGCGAATGCTCCAAGTGGAAACATCAATGTTATTTTTAAGGTATGTTCTTCCTCTAATCCTCAGGTCTTTTCGTATGGAAAATGATCATCTAAAATTCACCTAATTTATGTTTTGAACCTTGAGTCTGAAAATAGTTGATGTAGCCCTGCTCCTTGTTTATCCCTATTATTTTTGACACTAGAACTCTTATTGAAACATGTTGAGGCAACACACTGAAGTGTCACCTTTTTGATCAACAGAGAGTCAAACAAATTATGGCAGATTTTTCCCTTAGTGAAGACTACCAGACTGGAATAGAAAGTTCATATTTTAAACCTGGTTTATTAACGAGGCCAGGTCTCAGAGAAGAGATAGAGCGATTCAACCCTCAGCCTTGTCCATATGTCTCCAAAAAAATCAAAATACTGGAGTATTAGAGGCTCCACTTGCCACACAAACCTAATTCTGCCCTATCAGGCAGCGTGGGGGAATGGGCTGAGGAAGGTGGAGCTGGAGGAGGCAGCAGAGGAGCTCTGTCTCATTGCAGTTACTTGGAGGAACTGGCTCAAAATAAAATCTGCTTTATTTTGCAGTTGTCACCTAGAAAAGCTTCAGAGTTTAGAATAGTCTATCCGCAAAAGACAATTTTTAAGTTAGTTCTGTTTCGAAAGAGCAAATGTCTTCCCTAAAAGTGGATATTGGTTTTAGAGAAGAACACTAGTTCATAAAATGGCTGATAGATACAAAGTTGTTGGTTCCTAATGAATAATAATTCCTAATAATTCTTAGGTATTTTTGCAGAATAATTTTCCAAATGAGAAACCTAAAAAAGTTATATAAATTTTAAAAAAAAAAAAAAGACCCCAAAAAAACCCCCAACAGATTCTATGCTGTCTTAAATTAACTTGCCCTTTAGAGCAGCTGTGATTCTCAGAAGTAGAAGTAAACCTTCCAGGCCTGCTAAGGGGAGAAATTAGCAATTTTAAATTTTTCTGAACATTTAGAAACCTGGTTCATATGCTGTTTCATCTGAGAATCAATATTAAGTACCAGATTCCTACCTACTTGAGCAGACACCTGCTCATGGGGCTTTTAAACAATTGCATTGGTTCTACTCAAACAATTTTTTTCCTACCTAGTCATGTTTAGCAAGCAACCCATTGTCCATTTGCTGTAGAAGTATTTTGGCTGCTTTCACCTTCTCCTGTCAGCAAAACATTGTGTTAAAATACCTTTTACTTGTACCACAGTTCCATTGCTTATTCATGACAGATAACTCATACATAAATGATAAGCACAGTAAATGATAAGGGTATCTTACTAAATTGTCTTCCCACTGTATATGTGAGGGAAGATAAGTGGAAAGAATAAGATATTTTTACATTTTTAGATACTAAGAATAACTAATTGGAGTCAAGATTACCTTTCAATGAGAGAATAATAGATTCAGATATTTTGTCTTTTTAAGATGAGTTTATGATCCTCAAGTACTTATTTCCTGGCAGTAAATGTCTATAGATTGGAATGCTTGTGTAAAAAGAATGTAATGAAAGAATAAAGCACTTAAAATACCAGTAAAATTTATGTATTTTACGTGGAGTGGGATGGGGGAAAACAAAAAATCAAGGCTGTTGTTTTTGCAGGCCATTAATTCAGCCGTGGTTGAAAATAATCTCTTCATTAATTCTTGTGGCAACAATTAAAGCCCCATTTCACTGAGATTATTGTTTGACTAACTCCATGGGGAGAGGGGTCATCACTGCTTGGAACTGAATATGAATCACATTATGGATAAAATGTTAATTAGTGATAAAATTCCCTTGCAAATACCAAGTTGTGAGGCTTAATGTGAGACAAACACTGTCATTTGGGGGTCTAGCATTAAGTAGACTTTAAAATGTAACTAAATCAGGATCCTACCTCCAGATTAAATTTTCAAACTCCAATAATTACCTAGGAATAATAAGTAGAAAGGCCAGAGTTAACCAGGGATCATTTGTTAGCACCTCAGTGGATGCCAGAACTGTCCCTGTCTCTGTGTGCCATCTACTCTGTCCTCTCCTGACACAGAGAGGTAAGTGGGAACTTTGAAGGAAAACAAGACAAGAGTTACTGAAATGAATGTAGCTGCTTTGGTGGGCAAAAAAGCCTCTGTTAAATAGTCCATTATTTCTGTCTGGTATTGAAGAAGAAAACTGAATTTCATGTCCATTTTTCATAGATAGGTGATGATCTACGTCAAGATATGTTGGTTCTGCAAATTATTCGCCTGATGGACAGCATTTGGCTCCAAGAGGGACTGGATATGCAAATGATCGTTTACAGGTGTTTATCTACAGGGAAAGGACAAGGTCAGTCTTAAATTACAAAAGGAACCTATATTACATTATTCATATTTCATGTAAACAGTGGTATATAAAATTCATTTATTCTGCCTCTCCAGAACTCATTGGATTTTGTGGCAACTTAGGCTAGAATTTTCCAAAAGCCTCAACATTGTCAGCCAGCAAAACATTCTTAAATTCACATATCAAAAAGAGGGCTTTGGAGAAAATTGGCCATAGCTACTGAAGTTTTAATCCAGTGTAGTCCTACATAGATGCTTAAATGAGCCTAGATGCATGTGGCTACACAATGTACCTGCAGACAAGTGATTACAGCTTTGTGCTGTTGATTTTGAAATATTATTCTTGTGATTTATATTGCTTAGGGCAGGCCTGACTCATCTGAAAGCTCAATTTCTCTCTTTTATGGTTGTTGTAGCAGAGCTGTAGCAGGGATACCAATTGCTTGCTGTAGAAATCTGCTGACAGCTGTAAGCTGCCTATATTTCCCTGACCAAATCTTCTACTGGAAATAATCCTAGCTCAAATAGAAGGCTGATGCCTCCAGATTACCTGCTGCACAAAAGCTATTAAAATAGAAAAATTAAAAGAAAATCGTTGCTTTCTGAGCCACGAAGTGAACATGAGAGAGGAGGAATGATTTAAAGGAAATAAGAGAAAAGTATAGATGAGTTCAGGCACAAGGCATGTGGTGGTAGTGGTGACCTGTAAAAATCTCCTCCCTTCTTTGTGGGATGGGAATCAAAGCTTGAAAGCTTCAGCTTCAAAGGCAGATAATACAAGAATACTATTTCTGGACATGACATTATATACAGGCTCTTCTGTATACTAGTGCTTAATTTGATGTTTGCCAAGAGAGATACAGGGATCATCTGCAAATAATATTCTCTCCCTGACAGTCTCTTCCTTCCAGCATCATAGCAGCAAAAAGCCCTCAGTGTCTCACAGTTTTTCCAGATGTCTTTCCTTACCAGTTTACATCAGTGTTAAGATAATTGATTTTCAGTTAATAATTAAGGATAAAGGACAAGTGACATGCCTGTGGTCACACAGGACACGTGCTTAGGGAGGTTTTACACAGTTTTTCCAAGTCCTAGGCTAATGATTTCCTCCATGGCCACCTTTCCCACACAAGGGGGAAGGGAGATGGGAATTTCATGGTCGTGCAAACACAGAAATCATTTTTCACTGACACTCAGTGAAAACTGAATAAAGAATTGGTAGAATTCCACTTTCCAGGCATGGTGAAGCACAGGATCTTGTCAGCAAGTTAAATTCTTAGAGAAAGCCCTCCTTGTACTGCAGAATAGCAGCACGACATGCCAGGGCACCACATGTGGGGACAGGCACAGAAGGATAAAAAGAAGGTTTCAGGAACAAAAAAAGGAATTAAGTGCACGCAGTAGAGACAGAATATTCAAGTGCAGCATGGCAAAATGCTTGGCTCCTCTCTGCACCTCAGAGTCGCAGTTTGTGAAATACTGGATCAGTACCACTGAATTTCTGAACTACCCAGTACCATTTCTCCATGCTGTGATCAGCATCACATAGTCCAGAATAATTTCTGCGCCTTTCTAGACAATAAATACACATTAAACAGTATATATAAATATATATATTATATTTATATATATATTTGCATGTATTATATATATTTTATGTATATTTTAATGTATAATATATAGTATATATTTTTTATCTAATATATATTATATATAAAGTATAGGATATATAATATATTATCTATTATAAAATATTATATAATATATTATAACATATATAATCCTCTATATACTATTTATAAGATTAGATATACCAGGTATGTTATATATGCTATGCAATTAATATAATATTTCTATTAATTCATAAATATCAGATCCTACTTATTAATTTTTTTAGTTTTGTGCATATTCTACCCACTTTGAATCTTGCTAAATTGTTCACCTTGTTGGTACTTTGAGGCAGTTATATCCATAATATTGTTATTGACGGTTTTTTCTCCTTCATATAACTGCCGCATTTCACTCTGTGCCCTTTATTTCTAATTTCCAAAGAGCAAGAGTAAAACACTATTGTTCTATATTTTGTGCTGCATTCGTTATTTTTAAGCTTTTAACTTATGATTTTACTTATTTATTTATTTTTAGCTTTTAAATTGTTTATATTTTATTTATTTATTTTAACTTATTTATTTTTTTAGTTTTTAAAACTTGTTTATTGTTAACTTATTTTATTTGTTTATTTTTAGCTTTTAACTTAAAAAAAACCTTTAGGTTTTTTGGGGTTTTTTTCTGCATGGAATGATCAAACTACAGGAACTGTGCATTGTCTCTCTGTGTTTTTAAAGTTGAGGATTTTTCATGCAAACTCTTTTCCATCTGATTAGGGCTGGTACAGATGGTGCCAGATGCTACCACACTAGCGAAGATCCACAGGGAGTCTGGGCTGATAGGACCACTGAAAGAAAACACAATTAAAAAATGGTTTCACCATCACCATCCTCTGGAATCAAGTTACCAAGAGGTAACATCATAATGAAGCTTATTACACATTTTATGCTATGCCATGGGGGAACAAAAAAAGAACTAAATTGCAGCAGGCAGCAAAAATGAGTGGCTCAGGCATGAGACAAACAAGTCTCATGCAGAGAAACCAGGGAATCCACTTAAATGCCACTCTCTAGCTAAGGAATTATTGTTTTTTATCGGGTGCATGCTATTACATTTTCTATAAACGTGTGTCACAGAGATGTTTTGAAATTTAGTTGCAAAGCGAAGAGAAATTGAAATAGAAATTGTCTTGAACTCAGGAAAAAATTTTATTTTTTAGGTCAGCTCTTTAAATTCTCTTTATTATATAAACCATATCAAGTCCTGGCACATTTCCTGTATTTAGGAATGATCAGGCACCTATGCATTCTGCAGCCTAGAGTTGCAGAAAGCTGTTTTATCAAAACCACCTAGTCACAGTTGAAATACAGGATCTCATGCTTTTCATATCACTTGTTTTCATGGAATCTCATAATAGGCATTTGATTTTGTGAACCTAGATGTTCTGCATGAGCCAGAAAATTGTAAATTTTATTTATACAAGCAAAGGCTTTCCAAGGAAATGTTTCTATCATTTCCTTTCTTTCTATCAGCTTCTTTTTGGATAAGCATGTTCTGAGGCCCCTGAAAAAATTTTCAATTTTTGTGTTTCTAGGACAATTTTTATAATCCTTTTTCCATGCAAATGATAAATTAGGGGCCAAAATTTTAAATTTAAAGGAGTGCTTTGAGTATTTAGCACTCTGAGAATGAAATGCTTTTATAGAGTTTGTTAGTAGATGTGTATTATAAATATGTTTGGTAAAGTTTAGTAATTTTGTAATTATTCCATAGGCATTTTCTCATCCACATTTTGGCTACGAGCACTTGAATTCCTCATATATCATTTGATTCTATTAAACAGGAGCAATCTGTGTAGAATTGAGGTTTTTTTACAAGTTTGTATGTTTGCAGTTTTATGGTCGAAGTGTAGACATTTCAATTCAAAAGTGAGGCACTGCTAGTTATTGAGTGAACATTTGATTTCTTGCTGCTGCTGCTGCTGTTTGTAAACAATGCCATTCATGTGGAATATTCTAAAACAAATTCCTACCCAATTTCTTCCAATTTTTTAAGTATATAAAATGCAGTCAGATCTGATTACATAGGAAATGCATGAAATTACTTCTATGCATTCCCTTTGTGCTTGCTAGTGAATGAACCTTTCTCTTTAGTCCTTCATAATTTTTTACTCATACAGTACTGGATCTAAGGTGCTCAGAAAACTGGTGCAGAACAAGCTTTAATATCCTCATTTTACAGTTGGGTGAACAAAATCACAGAAAGCTAAAGTGTTTTATCCAAGGTCATCCAAGTGAGTAAGTAGCAGAGTTAGACATAAAATTCAGCCAACTCTCGAGCTGTGGCCTAAGTTTTGCTATTGCAGGTGGCATCTTGCATCTACAGGGAATTCCTGAAAGCCTAAATAATCATTTGCCTTGGCTAATGTAGGTTTTGTCCAAAAAACATTAAGATCCAGGTAACTAAAATAACCAGGTTTGGGTTTCTATATTACATTGTATACATTGTGATTTACATTCATGTGACATGAATTGAGTTCTGGAGGGGAAAAAAAAAAAATCCATGTAGGTACAAAACAGTGCAGTGGGTGTAGAACAACCTGCACCCTTTGCAAAGCAAGTGGTTAAATTTGTGCATTTGCAAATAATTTCCCAAGAGTTGTTTTTGCAATATGCCTGCAGAACACTGAACAGAAAATATCAACTTCCTGCCAAGAAGCTTTTTTTTTCTTAAGCACCTTTTGCCTTAAAGTTTTCTGTAGAATTCCAGGTATCTCTGGAACACGAGGTGAAAACCTCATGCATAAAAATGTTCTTGTGCTGTAACTTTGAGATGTTTGTGTACCATCCCTATATCTTTCCTACTCAGACCTGTCTCATGAATCTCTTTTCAAAATTGCCTGGTAAAACTTTAATAGGTTAAATAGGTTTACCAGGTTACCAACAAGCATAGCATTTGTAAAATAACATTTAAAAAGATATTATTTTTTATATTTTAAAATTATTTTATTGTTTTTAAAAACCATTTTTATTCTTTATCACAAATATATCTGGCTATTTCATGTAAGAGCTTTTGTTTTACTCTCTAGGCCATAAGGAATTTCTTTTATTCCTGTGCTGGCTGGTGTGTTGTTACCTTCATCCTGGGAGTCTGTGATCGACACAGTGACAACATAATGCTGACAAAAGCTGGACACATGTTCCACATAGATTTTGGAAGATTTTTGGGTCATGCACAGATGTTTGGAAACATAAGAAGGTTTGTATCTATAGTAACACACAGCAAACTTTAAAGCAGTGGTCTGAAATTTCACAGCCTTATCAACTCCCATAAAAAAAAAAAAAAATGCAAACAGGATTATGCTTTCTTTTTGCTTTCTTCCTGTATTTTCCAAAACAACATGTTTTTGTTGTTTCTTGAAACTTCTAAAAAGTGTAGGAATGACTGGAAAAGGATTAAAATATGTTGGAGATCCCTTTTCAGTGTAAAAGAAAAATGTAATTCCTTGCTTGGTCAGGAATTTGAATGATGTAGTTCAGTAGTGACCAGAATAGAAGAATTCTGATGTCCATTGCATTTTTTTTTCCAACAGAGGAGGGTTCCTAAAATGGATCCAAATCCATATATCTGTCTAATTGACAACTTTCTTGCCATATTCAGAGAAGGAACCAAATTTTCCAAATGGACATGGAGAATATTTAAATTATGACTCCGAGTGCAAATCTACAAACTTTCTCATTATTTTTTTAAGTTCCACATCAAACCACACTGATCCCAGGGGTTGTTTTGCAAATACCTTATTGCCTTTGCAGGTGTGATGTCATGCTAAGTATAAATCAAACAGTGTGATCATGTATCCAAGTTCCTAATGTGAATATTTTATGAAGGAATGAATTGAAATGGAATAAGGATAAGATAATGCCAGTATGTCCAAAACACAAAGGAGATGTTATAGTAAGTAAAGAATGGATGAATGATCCCTTTTAGTGACAAGATGAGTAGTGTCTGTATGTCTTTGATCAATATTTTCTGAAAATTTCCAGAATAAGTACCAGAATTAAGTTTGAGATAATTTTGTTACCGTTTTTTCTTTTTTTTTTTTTTTCTTTTTTTATTTTTGGTTAAGCTGGCCTTTGCCTGCTCCATACTATCTCAGTGTGTTAGACAGACATAACAGCATGGGAGTATTGATATGAGGAAAGCTGATGAGGATAATAAGTACTTCTAAGTCAGGCAGTCAAAAGATTTAGTTGCAGTGCTTAGAATTATCATCCATCATTCAAGATATGCACCCTTAATCCTCCTTATTGGCTGTGAAAAGAAGAAATAAGAGTAATAAAAACATACTCATGCACACTCCTTGTCAAGGAGTGCATGCTTCTCTACAGCAAAACTCCTGTTGGAACCTATCAGGAATTTCCTTGAGTAGTAATTTTACAGAAATAAAAAAATTACTTAGTTGAGTGATCAACAGGAGGGGGACACAACAACCAAATTTAAATGATGTAATAGCAATAGTTTTACAGCTCAGTTATGCTACACCTTCTTATTAAATCTTTGAAAACTTAAAATATAATTACTTCCACAAACATCAGCCTCTTTTTCCATTTCTCAGTGCAGCATGTTGCTTTTAAACTACAGAATAAAATCACACATTTAGGACCCCCGTTCATGGAATGCCCTCATGATTCCTTAGGAAAATTGGGTCTCCCATCTAAGAGCAGGTTGCAAACATCATGGGATAATCATTGTTTTCCTCAAGACCAAAAGAAACTGAGCAGATACAGTATTAATGTTTTAGTGATGCAGTATTAATGACTATTGTTCTTATTAGTTGCATGCACCTTCATGAAATGTAACAAATATCATTTCTAACATAGGAACACAGGGATATCACATTTGTACAGGTCACAAACTTCAGGTTCTCTCAAAATGTGAAGCTCTCAGTGCTAGTTGTATCTACTCATTTCCCACAAGGCAATTCCTGAAACAGCTTTGGACTCTGCTTTTTTTAACAGCTCTTATATTGCACTTTTATTTGAGTTCTTGTTAGATTGGTTTTTTGGGGTTTTTTTTTGGTTTTTTTTTTTTTTTTAGTTTTTGCACTCCCAGAATATCATACTCTAAAATAACATTGAAAAAACAGCAGCACAATGGTGCCAAACCTAACAATTATTAGTGCTGACCCTTGGGGCGTGTTGTATAGTAGATATTTTATATACATTTCTGGAGGTCTATAGGAGCTTTAAAGAATGCAAAGCATCTGATGCAAATCCCTCTACTTGGGGTTTACACACATCATACAAACCTTTTTTGTGTGTGAGTGTAAAATGAAATCTGTGCAGATCAATGAAGGGTTACAGACAAGGAGTCCCTGTCCAAAGTGTTTAAAACAATCATTCCTTATAGAGCTTTGCAAGCTGATTGCCACAGCTGTCCATTTTCTGCTCTCAGGGAGTACTCTTTGCCATTACAAAAATCTAATTCCTCATAAAACTTCCTGAGGATAGATCCTGTGGAGTGGAGTGCTCCTTCTGAGGGAAGTGAAGTGCCAGGAGAGCTTTGGCAGCCCAGGGGCTCACACACACATGGGCTGCAGCTCTTCTGTCACACCCAGTATGAGTCTCCAGAGAACCTGTTGGAGCTGGCACAATTCATCCAGTCATGCTCACTTTGGCATTCCTGACTAAAGACCATAAAAAGGTGATTAGTCAACTTTTCTACTTCCTGCCCTCACCTTTGAAAGATATCCAATAAATATGCTCGGTTTTGGTTCCAAGTCAAAAATAAATTCTTCTTGATATGAGAGGAAAGAGGAATTAAAACTTTCATTCTATATGTGCCTTCACAGTGTAGTAAATACTTTAAATAATACTAATAATCCATCTTTCCTTGGATCTATGATGCCATGTGAGGGCTGCCCTAGAACAGAGGCTGGACAGAGTTACAGAATAAAGCAGGGATCTATTAAAAGGATCTCCTCCATGGATCCACCTTGGGCAGCACAAGAGCCCAGCCAGGGCTGCACCCAAGATGAACCAAAATGGTCCCAAAATGCACAAGCGCTCCCGGGGTCTCTCACTGGGATCAGTTCTGCTCCATTTGCACCTTGGAGTTCATTGTCCCATTCCAGCTTTAGCCCAGGCAGTCCCATCCTGCTTGTTTTTCTCTTTCCAGCCCACGGTGTTTGTGCTCCTGGGCCTGAGATTTGGATCATTTGTCCTTGGTCCCCAGCTGGAGAAGGAATTGTTTTGTCTCCCTACTCTGAAGAGAGCTCACCATCCCACATTATGAAGCCCAGACCCACACACTAACGCAGCACAGAATCTGAAAAATGTAAAAGCTAAATCTGAGGCATCATCTAGAGCTAATATTTCAGGAGTATTGGAGGGAGACTTATGATCTATCTAACCAGTAGCATAATAACAGAGAGCTGGGCAGAAGACTTATTCCCAAAGTCCCATAGGGAACTTTCCTACTGAACCATGAGATTTCATTATCTTATCTTTCTAATTTTTTTTTAATCACACTGAATGACACCTTCTTCTAGCAGTAAAAAAATGCTCCTTTCATTCTCTAACCCAGCCTCCATTTTTGACCCTACGTTCCCCCAAAGCAGGCAAGTCTACAGGCATACTTCAAACTGTAAGAAGGAATATTTCATGTTTAATTTCTTCATATAACTGCCTTATTCCTCATCTACTGAGTGTCCTGTGGTGATCATCTCAGACCCACTCACACATAAAGAGGTGTAATGCTATCCAGATGATCAGCCTGGACTAGGTCAGTCCTGATCAAGTGGTTTGGAAGAGGGTGCCTGGCTCATGGTTTTACCTGCCACGCTTTCCTCACCTTTGTTTCCTTCCTTTCAGGTCTGACCAGCTCCTTTCAAACATCCCTTACTCGGTGAATTAAGCAGCAAGAAATTTATTTGAATCCTGTGCTAAGTGAAGTAATCCAAAATTCAGCAGTCAATCACATCCTCCCCTCTCCCAGGCACTCCCAGCTCTGTCATCTATCCTTTTCCAATCAGTGATGTGCAGTGTGAGGTTTGCTGGCAAGACACAAAGTGGTGCCAATTTTTATTTTTTGCACACTGCAAATCCACCTTTTGACAACATCACTGTCCATTCTTTTTCTTAAATATCCAGTCATCCTGATTACCTCCAGCACTCACTGGCCTTTTCATTTCCCTGATCGGAATCACAGAGACCCTCCTGTCTCTTTGCCAAACTAATCCTGGCTCTTGGCATGGCTTTCCCAGAATTTAAATCTGCTAAGCTGGTTTTCTTCTACACAGTTAATTACTACAGGCAGCCTAACTATTCCTTTGGGAAATTCCAGTTATTAGGGAAGTTCCAAAAATATGGGAAAATTATGTTTCCCACACTTTCTTCCTAGATTGGTGTTTTATTATATTGAGAAGGATTTCAGAACATCTGAGTATATAGAAATGTAGTGCCTCTTTTAATTTTAAAAGTAACACATTTCATTTTTAGTGTTAACAACCTGAAATGTGTGTTAATGTCTCACTAGAAATGCTGATTTAAAAAATATCTCCAGGTATTTCTTTCTAAAACAGAAATGATGGCATATGGACATGGAAAGTAAGTTCTATCTGTATTTTTTGATTTTATATTGTATCAAGCTTTGTTCTCTTTTTTCTTAAAAAAGGAAAAATGAGAAAGAAGGAAGAATTTGAGAATAACACAGCTTACTTTTTGCTTTTTACCCTTTTAAAACTTTATTTAGAGTACTCACATAAAGTCAAAAACTTGAAAGTAAAAACTTGAAGGCATAATCAATTTTTGTTTTCTAAATTTGTGCAGAAAATTCTGTACCAACATGTATTAGATGTTGAAAGATTTCAGTGTTAAGAATTAATTCTCTGTAGTTTATATTTATTTTTCTGACATAATAGATCTGGATTTATTGGTTTCTGTGAAATGGCAACTCCTAATTCTGTTCCACTATTCACTTTCAGCCCTTCCTGTATGCCACCCTCCAAAAATCTCTGTCTGCAAGCCTGGAAAGATTTAATTTCATGACTTAAAATACCTCAGTAGCCCAAATGATCTTAACAAGATTATACAGATGTTTAAAAAATCCTGCCATCCACATAAAGAATGAAAGAGGAAAAATGTACAAAAACCTGTAGGTGAAACAGCATCATCTCCAAGGTGACGAGGCCTAAAGGGGCTTGAATTTATCAGGGAAGAAATCCATCACTTTTGAAAGTGTCTCTAGTTGTCCCAAAG